TCCCCCCCCCCCCCCCCCTCGTTCCAGAGCACGCAGGTCTGGCGGGTGCACCCCAGCTCCCTGCCTTGGGCGTGGATGATCGGCAACTGGAAAAAAAAACGGGGCCCGGGGGCAGGGTGCGAGGGTGCGAGGGTGGCTGTAGGCAGCGGGAGTGGCCTGATAAACACTAATGCGCGTGCCTAACGGTCCCGCCCCTTCTCCTCGCCCTCCCCCCGCGCCGGCGACTTTCGGCGGGGAATGCGCTGCTGGCAGCTTCCTCTGGTCCGGCCCCCATTTTCCAGGGCTTCTTCGGGCCCGGGTCCCCCCTGCCGGCCGACGCCCGAGAGCGTTCCCGCCCCCCCCCCGCCCCCCCCCCCCTGCTGGCGGTGGTCCTACACACGGCCGGGGTGGGCACCGGCGGGCCAAGAAGGAATACAGGATCGGCGGGAAAACGCCGCGCGCGGGCCAGCGTGAGGACAAGTGTGGGATAGCTGCATACATAAAATGGGGATCGCCCGGGGGCGCGGCCAATCGGGCCATGTGGGGGTTGCTGGCACACGCGTGGGGCCCGGATGTGGCCACAGGCATGGCGAGCAAGGGGGGGGCGGGGGGGGAGGGGGGGGGGACAGGCAGGCAAGCAGGCAGGCAGGCAGGCAGGCAGGCAGGCAGGCAGGCAGGCAGAGGGGCGAGGCACCCGCGTTGGTCCCTTTGTGGGCCAGCCTCACCGGGTGAAAAGCCCAAAGAGGGGCCGACTCTCGAGGGCACAACGGGCGGGCGCGTGTGCGCGCATGCGCAGCAGCCTCACGCAGGCGCCGGGCGCCGAAAGACTCCCGCCCAGTCCCCCGAGGCCGGTGCGCGGGGAGGACCGTGTTGGTCTGGCCGCCAGCCGGCGGGCGGCGTGAAAATCCATGTGAAGATCTTCCCCCGGCCGGGGGAGAACGGATGCCGGCGCTCTTGGATTTAGGAATATCTCGCGTGATCCCCGTGCCATGGGACGTGATACCCCGCACGGGGCGAAGGACGGCCACCGGGCGTGACGGGTCCGACGCCGTTGGCGGGGCTCCCTCCTCTCCCCGCCGGGGAGGGGCGCGGGGGCACGGCGGCCCGCGACGCCGGGGAGGCATTTGCTCTCGCCCCCGCAAGGAGCGCCGCGGCATTGGCCCCACCCCAGCCCCGCCCCCTCGTCCCCCAATAAGCAGCCGGGATGTGGGACAATATACCGGCGTCGCATCCAGCCAACAGGGCCAGGATGGAGAGGGGGCCTATCCCCCCTCCCCCGGGGGGGGGGGGGGGGCAGTGCGGGGCAGGGGGCCTCCCCGGCCACCATGGCAACGGCGAGGGCCGTTGTCGCGCGGCACGGACGCACGCGCACACGCCCGCGAGGGCACAGCACAATCGAGCTGGAAGTGGATGCGGGCTTCGTCGTATTATTATTGGAGTGGTGGTGCGTGACATGGGGCCCTTCTACGCTCGCACACGCGCGCACGCACGAGGGAGGGGGGAGGGGATCTCAAGGACAGGGCTGCTTCTCAAACATGGGGGGGGGGGGGGCGCGGGAGGCCGCATACATATATGTGTACAAATATGCATATGTGTTTTGTGTATACACACACGGTCACCCCCACGCACGCGCATGGGCGTCTCTAGAGCGGGTGCTGCGGGATCGGGCCGCCGTGGGGATGATGGCCCCCCGCCGGTGGGGGCGGCGGGCCCCGGTGATGGGCGGGCCCCGGGGCAAAGTGGGTCGCATGGCCGGGGACCTGGGCGTGCACTGGGCGTGGGGGGTGGTGTGTGCGCACGCGTGTGTGAAAGGGGGGAGGGGGGGGGGAGGGGACGAGAGCGTTTCCACGCTTCAGTTAGGACGGAAGAGGTCTGGGGGGGTGGAGAAGAGGAGGGATGTAAAGGCAGGGGAGAGCGTGCATGGGTTAGAGGAACAGGCGCGCCCTCACGCGACGTGGTATGCTGGGGGGTTGTGGACGTGTGGGCGAGCATCTGTCCCCCCCCCCCCCCCCGTGCCAGACCGTGAGAGATGGGACAAAAGGGAGAGGGGGGGGGATCGAGGGGCCACGACGTACAGGCATTGGTGTAGAGGGGCTGCTGGCCCGGAACCTGCTGCTGCTGCTGCTGCTGCTGCTGCTGCTGCTGCTGTGGCTGTTGCTGCTGCTGCTGCTGCTGCATGGTACTGTGAAGAATGCCCCCAAGCGGTGAAGTTGGACGCGAGCCAGCTGCCACGAGGTGGCCCCCGGTGAGGTCCTGCGACCCGCCGTGCGCGGCCGCTAGCATGGGAACTTGGGGCTGCTGCTGGAGGTGATGCCGGGAGGCGGTCTGAAGGTCGGCGGTGGTCATGGCTCCGAGAACCCCGGGACCCGGGGCGCCGGTGGCATACCCCCCACCGCTACCCCCCAGCTGTTGCTGCTGCTGCTGCTGCTGCTGCTGCTGCTGCTGCTGCTGCACTGCCGCGAAGTTGGCCAGCTGCTGCTGCGGCGGCATGGCCAAAGCCGCGCGACTGATGACCGGTAACCCCCCGTGGCCGCCCGGGGCCGCCGAATGCAATAGCGCCGGCGTGGACTGCGTCTTGCGGAGCTTGAGCACGCGCTTGCCGCGAGAAGTCCGGTGCGAGGTCTGCTGCGGGTCGAAGGGCGACCCGGCGGCCTGGCCACCGCCGCGGCCCAACAGCCGCCCGCGCTGGAGGTCGCCGCCACCGGCGGCGGCCGCCGCCGCCGCGTGCGACTGGCACGTCGTCATGCTGCTGCCCGGGGAGAAGGGGCCACCGCACACGCCGGCGCAATGGCTCCCGCCACACAGGGCAACTCCAGTCGAGGAGGCGCCCTCCGAGTCTTCCTCTCCATCGTCGACCTCATATTCCTCGCCATCGTCATCGTAGAAGCAGTCCTGCTCCGGGAGAAAGCCGACCGCCGCCGCGCCGGGCCCAGCGCCGGGCCCGGTGGCAAAGGTCGGCCCGGCGAGCGTGGCGAACTGCGAGGCAGCCGCCACTCCATCGAGGATGCGCGTGTTGACACCGCCGCCCGGCTGTTGCACCTGCTGCTGCTGCTGCTGCTGCTGCTGCACCTGTTGCTGCTGCTGCTGCTGCTGCTGCTGCACCTGTTGCTGCTGCTGCTGCTGCTGCTGCTGCAGGAGCATCATGGGCTGCTGCGCGCCATGGTGCGAAGATTGCGATACATGCATCTGTGGCTGCGACTGCGGCGCGAGGAGCAGACCGGTGGGATCCGCGGGACCGGTGAAGGGGCCGACGGCGGGGGGTGGCGCATGCGCGACGGCATTCGCCGCCACGTACTCGGGCTGCTGCTCGGCCAGGGAGGGGAACGGGGCATTCGGGTGCGGGACGTCGCCCTCCTTGATGTCAATCGGCACTCGGGCCGCCAGCAGCAGGGGGATGAGTCGGGCGCGCATGGCCCCGGCCGGGAGCCACGCCCGGTAGACGGCCTGGGCATCGGGCCCGGGCCCGGGGGTGGCCTGGCGGCCCTCGGTGATGTCGTCGCATGCTGTGGCCAGGCCAGGAGGAGGGT